AAAATATTTACACAAGTGGATACCACAAATCTTATGTTATACTTAATAAAAGTATAAATAAACTCTAAGTGTTAGTCAATCTATCGTTTTACGAATTCTCCAAAACTAATTTCAACGATCCAAACCGTCAAAATTGTTTGTATATGCTTGGAGATCACATCAGCAAAAAATCACAAAAAAAAAACATTCAAAGATCAAGTAACGGGACAAAGCTTTTCAACGGTTATAAACGAAAAATCAAGATTTAACGGTTATTTTAACTCCGATTTTGATGATTTTTTATAACTACACTCCTTGACCCTATATGAATACAATGAATGAATTCGATCTTCAATTTAAAATATTTACACAAGTGGATACCACAAAATCTTATGTTATACTTAATAAAAGTATAAATAAACTCTAAGTGTTAGTCAATCTATCGTTTTACGAATTCTCCAAAACTAATTTCAACGATCAAAACCGTCAAAATTGTTTGTATATGCTTGGAGATCACATCAGCAAAAAATCACAAAAAAAAAACATTCAGAGATCAAGCAACGGGACAAAGCTTTTCGACGGTTATAAACGAAAAATCAAGATTTAACGGTTATTTTAACTCCGATTTTGATGATTTTTTATAACTACACTCCTTGACCCTATATGAATACAATGAATGAATTCGATCTTCAATTTAAAATATTTACACAAGTGGATACCACAAATCTTATGTTATACTTAATAAAAGTATAAATAAACTCTAAGTGTTAGTCAATCTTTCGTTTTACGAATTCTCCAAAACTAATTTCAACGATCCAAACCGTCAAAATTGTTTGTATATGCTTGGAGATCACATCAGCAAAAAATCACAAAAAAAAAACATTCAAAGATCAAGTAACGGGACAAAGCTTTTCAACGGTTATAAACGAAAAATCACGATTTAACGGTTATTTTAACTCCGATTTTGATGATTTTTTATAACTACACTCCTTGACCCTATATGAATATAATGAATGAATTCGATCTTCAATTTAAAATATTTACACAAGTGGATACCACAAAATCTTATGTTATACTTAATAAAAGTATAAATAAACTCTAAGTGTTAGTCAATCTATCATTTTACGAATTCTCCAAAACTAATTTCAACGATCAAAACCGTCAAAATTGTTTGTATATGCTTGGAGATCACATCAGCAAAAAATCACAAAAAAAAAACATTCAGAGATCAAGTAACGGGACAAAGCTTTTCGACGGTTATAAACGAAAAATCAAGATTTAACGGTTATTTTAACTCCGATTTTGATGATTTTTTATAACTACACTCCTTAAAGGCAATAGATCAAGCCAAAGTTCCAATATAATTTCATGATGTTCGATGTAAATTGAAGATTTTGTAAATGGAGGTGTAAACTTTTAAGAAAGACTTACAATCTTAAAAACAAAAACTCTTTATCCTTGCACATTTAATATTTGTAATAGATTAGTAGTGTATGTATTATTTTTTTTTATTAGGCTTTCATTTTCGAGTGTAGATATAGTACTTGAACGAGAAATGTTTTAATGTTTTCAAGTAATATTTATGTCGCAATGTGTGGTATGTGCAAATTGTAAAAAAATATATTTTTTTCTTAACGGGTCATAACGGGTCATAACGGGTCGGGTCACTTTACCCGTTGGGTAAAGTGACACGACCTGTTAAGGACCCGTTAAGATAACGGGTGTGACACGACACGACCCGTTAAGATAACAGGTGTTACACGAACACGACAGACACGACCCGTTTGCCAGGCCTATCTGTATATGCTCCATATGCAAGCATCTGCAAGGCAGCAGTAATTTTTTGCTCAGGCAGTAGACCCATAGCACCAAAAGCATCATTCTTTTGCATAAAGTAAGAATCATGGTTGCAAACTGCAATCATGATTTTGTTGAACAAATGTCGTTCCATTCTAAAATGACGTCTAAAGTACGTATTAGGGAATGCACTATTAGGGACAAAATAATCATCCAAGAGTTCCATACCTCGTCGTTGCCTGCTTCTATCAAGGTTTTCGGAACGACTGGGGCTGCAGATCTAAGCCACAGCTTGGTTGACTCGACGGGAATGTGAGGCTCTGCCCATTCTTACTTCGTCATCTCTCCTTCTACGCTCCTCATCCTCTTCCCTCTCATTTTTTGCCCCCTGGTGATTGAACATTGCTTCTGATTGGTTAAACAATTCTTCCTCTTCTTGATCGAGTTCCCACATCATCCTTAAGGAAGAAGAAGACATTGTAAGAAAGAAACAGAAACTATGAATAATGATACAGATTTTTGTGAAGAAGGAAGCAGAAACTATGAATAATGATAGAGATCTTGAGAAAATTGGTGTGAGATTTGTAAGGATGGATGGTGGATTATATGGAGGATTCAGAAAGAATTAGGTTGTACATAATGTCACGTGCCATGCCGTCATTCGTTAAAAATCTGATGGAAATCTATCCTCAAAGATTGTAAACAGATTATGACACATGGCGCGACGTGATTGGTTAATAATCTTATCAGAAATTCATCACCAATAATTGTATTTTCGGATAATGACACGTGGCATAACGAGTACGATTAAAAAATTTATCGGAAATCCATCCCCAATAATTGTCTTTTCGGATTTTATGACAAGTGGCGCAACGACAACGATTAAAAATCTTATCCGAAATTACAAATAAATTTATTTTGTATTATTTAATAATACTTCGGATAATGACATGTGGCGCAACGAGAACAATTAAAAATCTTATCCGATATTACAATTAAAATTATTTTGTATTATTTTATAAATAAAAAAATACTAATATTTTATTGCCTATTGCCAGGGTTATTGAAGTGTAACGGTGGAGATGCAAATGCTATTGCCAGGGCTATTACTGTTCATTAAGGGCAGTTACTGTTCATTTGGTGGATTAAACAGTGCATAGCCTGGGGGGAGGGCTCCAACGCTAGAGTTGCTCTTAGAATGTTACCAATATTCCTATGCCATCCTGATCTTTCAAGTGTCTTTCATTAATTCAAACAAGTCTGTCTAACTACTTACTCGGCCCTAATCCACTAATTTGGGCCCAAACAGTTTTACCGGACAAAAATTGATTGCTGTGAGGAAATTGGACGAGGGTTACTTTTGTTAAGTTTTTGAGTACTTCAAATATGTCAGGATAAGGAATCATTTTTTAGTTCGGACACCTAGATTTCATATTGGTGCTTCTTTGATTCTCTCTTCTATAGATATAGAAGGGTTTCTTGCAGAACCGGCATCACTTGGTGCACTTGGAAACACACAACTTGGTAAGCATAGTTTGGAAGTTCCTTCTAATTTGGTTTCGTTTTTGTGTACATTTCAGAGAACATGATGATCATGACTCCATTGTCACAGTCAAGTACTTTTGGGAAATGACCTTTCTCCAACTTCTTGCAAAACAATCCTAATGATTCAGTGTTCCTGCAACTTATTCGCACACAAACTACTAGCTTACAATACAATGCTTTCGTCCCTAGCATGTAAAGAAAGTATAACAAAGAGTCGAGCGTATTCTTGCCGTCTTCTGGAACTATTTTGTGCCAGAGCACTGCTGTTATTCATTCTGCATTTGCAAACACTACGAGTCTACGAATCTTTACTTACCCTACTTGCATGCCAGCAATGTACAAACCATGTTACCGAAAAGAAAAAGAAATGCCCAGCCCTGTATTTGGACAACAGAATTATCATCTTTGTCATAATTCACTTACTAAACAAAGACAACATACAGTTTTCCAAAACCATATCATGCACAAACAAGGAAATGTGGATAAAAAAGATGAAAGAGTTACTTGAGGTAGTTTTAAGTTTTAACATACGTATAATGCCAAACAGGTCTTTCAAAATCAGCCGAAGGAGCAAAATGCGTAAGAATTCAAGTGAGTTCATCAAACTATGGACGGCAGCCAGAGCTATACATAGAGTTAGACTTCTAAGGGTTTTATATCCGAACAACGTTAACCATATTGGAGGGAAAATGTCATTAAGTCACATTTGAACTAATGTAGCAGTTGGCTAAATGAAAAATGTAGGTAATTGCCTCGTTGATGGGCTGAGATGGTTACCAAAATGAAAGTGGGATTGGTCTCTCTTCTCGGTACAAACATAGGTTGTTCATTTTGTGCATGGTTGTCTCATTGACAAGTGACAACCACAAACTCCCTTGCTGTGCGTACAAGAGAAGAGAAGAACCATGACTGCAAGTTCCGGTTTGTATGCATGATTATTATACTGTTAGGGTTTTATCAGCAACTGCATTATTGCAGTTAGCATTAGGGTTTATCATTAGTACAAACTAATGAAAGACTTGTAGTTTGGACTTTGGATACTTGGTTGATTGGATCCTTGTATGGAATGGTTTGCAAAAAGAAGAAAGGTAAAGTCTGTAACAAAAGAAATTGACAACAGAAGGAAGATATATAAATAAATGAATAGAAGTTTTCACTTTCCACTCTTTTATGTACTTCTATATTCATCGTCTTTCAACAAAAGAAGAAAACCAAAAAGTTAATAAGAACCCTAAACGGGAGAGAACCAAATGCCAGAGAGATCCAAATCTAACTCAAAGTAACAATTAAAAGTTCTTTTGCTACCTATGTCATAAACGAGGAACACAGTAAATGAGCACCGCAAATTCGTGATCTAGAGTACAAAGCTTAGTAGAACATATAATTTTAGCACCCCAAATATTGTGTGTATTAATGACAGTATAAACCAGAGAGTAAAGGAAAACCGAAATGCAAACCTGATATGCAAGAAGCTCTGTCATTAAGGATTAGTCTTGCAGTTGAGCTACATGACATACTTAAGCACGTTCTAAAGGTCAGTGCAGGATGACAAAGTCAGCTGCAAAATTAACCATAAAACAGCAGCATAGGAATCGATGGACATCAATTACAAGAAAATGCATTGTATGAAAAACAAATAACGTATTACACAAAAATACTGTAATTCACGTCATATAGTATTAAGGACCCAAACTATCATGTGCTATTTTATTGATTGCTTGGCAATGATACACGTTCACCAATTAGCACATGTTCTATCAGTCATGAATTCTACAACGCCGTAGCTCCAACAATTACATTCCAAGAAAAAAAGAAAGAGATGGTCCTCGATTTCGCTCAATACAGCATGGGAGTGCTTAGAAAACAATGTCCCTAAACCACAAAACTTCTTCACCATAGTTCACAAGGTTCCTCCTCATATGGCATTACATCGTTATGATATATGGAAAAACGTACCGGGAAATGACAGAAATGTTAAAAAAACAATCGTAAGAATTATAATGAACAAGAATTCGAAGGGTTCTACCGCACAATGAAAAGAATTTTGTCACCCAGAAGCCTTCTTCCCACCAGAATAGTAACTGAGGTACCACCGAACGAATTTCTTCAGCCCTGTCTGCAGATCAGTTGTAGGCTTATATCCAAGTTCCCTCTGAGCCGAACTAATGTTTGCGTGTGTAAACTGAACATCCCCATTACGTGGCAACTTCATTATATTTCTCTTAGCCTTCACCTTCAAAAGCCTCTCCAAAATGGTCACAAGATCCGTAACTGGCACTGGCGATGTATTCCCCAAATTGAAAACCCGCAATTGGGCAGGCCCCTTCTTCTTTCCTCCACTCCCAGTACTCTTCTCAGCGGTATCTAATGACGCCAAGCATCCCTTCACAATATCATCAATGTAGGTAAAATCCCTTGCAACGGTTCCATGATTAGCCCCCTCAAAGATTGGAATGGTCTTCCCCTTCAATATATCCCTCGTGAAAAAGAAGTATGCCATATCAGGCCTTCCCCAAGGGCCATAAACAGTAAAGAACCGCAACCCGGTAAGGGAAAGGCCATAGATATGGTTGTAAGTGTGTGCAATTTCCTCACCGGCTTTCTTGGTGGCGGCATAGAGACTAGCCGGCTGGTCAGTCCGGTCTCTTTCCGAAAAGGGTACCTTAGTATTTAATCCATAAACAGAACTAGAACTTGCCCAAACAATTGCAGGTTGTGGATTTGCATTTTTACAAACTTCAAGAAGATTAACAAGACCAGCTATATTACTATGAACATATGAGCCTGGGTTTTCCATGGCATACCTCACACCAGCTTGGGCAGCCAAATGCATCACATGGGTGAACGCCACTACCTCGAAGAGCTTGCTCAGCAAAGGGGCGTCGTTTATGTCGCCTTCCACAATGAACACCCCACTCCGCTCCAAAAGCGCCTGCCGAGCCCTCTTCAACGAAGGGTCGTAGTAGTCATTAAAGCAGTCCAGACCAAGGACCCCATCTCCACGGCGTTTAAGCGCCGCCGACACGTGGGTCCCGACGAAGCCGGCAGCACCGGTGACGAGGACGGAGATTCCGTGGCGAGACCGGACTTTGGCAGAGGACCTGACCCGTTTTTCCCAGGCGGGTCCGCCCCAATTGTAGGTTCTGAGAGAGCGGCGGGAGGGATCGGACGGCAGAGAATTGGGGGACGGGGAGTGGAAGAAGAAGATCAAGATCAAGCCGAGGAAAACGAAGGACCAGAATGTGAGCTTGGCGAGAGAGCCGTGCCCGCGGAGGCGATGAATGTAGGGCGACTTGTCCATCTTGAACTTGCCGGGCGTTGGCGGACTGATGTCGATGTGGGACATTTGCTTTAGCTGGGTCATCTTCAATGGCGAATGTGAACAAAACCCAGGTATCGGGTTGCTGAATTTCGGCCGGAAAGCTTGGGATTTGGGTCCGGTTTAGGGTTCTACGAACTGGGTTCCTCGAGATTTCCTCAGAAAAAGGCGGTGGTGGCGGCGGTGGCGGCGGTAGCGGTGGTTGCAGATAAGAAAAAGTGAGCTCCTTTTAGCTCCTATCCATGTTCTGGTTAGGTAGTGGGGGAATCTTCTGGTTTCTTGGAGAGATGGGTTGTTGGTGGCAGCAGTTTCTCTTCTTTTATGCAGAAAGAGTAAATGCAAAGTTGAAAGCTTTTGATTTGGGTTAATGATCTGTGATTAATCACTGTTTAGAGAGAGAAAGAGAGGAAGAAGAGGAGAGAGAGATTGATGGAGATCAGAGGACAAGGAACTGCAATATTTAATGAAGATCAAACAAGACAAAGAAACTGTTTAAACTTAATTAAAATCAGTTTATCTGATGGTGGTTTTCTGCAAAGATAGCTGGTTTTGGTTTCATTTTTCGGTTGATAGTTTTGGTTGATCAAAAGAAAGAAAATTCAGAGATTTTGGTTTTTGTTTTTGTTTTTTTTTTTGTAGGCTGTCAAAAATTAAAAGATTTGTTTAATGGAGGAACGAGAATTCCAAATTTCAGGGTGGAAGTTTTAACATTTGATTGGTTGGGAACCCCTCTAAATTTTTGGGATTTATTTTGGGATATTTATTTTTGGATATTTTATGGGGGAGTTGTATCTATATTTGGGTTGGGGTTATAATATAAACGTTTAAGGCTTTGAGGAGTGTGGGGATGTGGTTTGTTTGTTGGAGAGTTTGACTCATTGAGTAAAAAGAATTTAATTTAGCTCCCAAACTAAAAAGAAATAAAAAAATTACAGCAAATGGCTCATTGGTAAGGATCCGGATTGTAGCTCCCCAATAAACAAAAATTGTCAGATGTCTCATGTTCAATACTCCGAGCTAGTGAGTTTTTTTTTTATTGTGGTCACAGGTAGAGTGAAATTCCTTATAGTATCTCCGGGTTCAGAAGAGGTGAATAAGTGTGACGTGCCACCAGTTGTCTTCCTTTTAAAAAAAAAAAAAATAAAAAGAAATTAAAAAAAAAGTAACTAGCTTTTAGTTTTTGTTTTTGTTTTTCTTTTTGACCTAAGCACCTTCGGGAACATTCTATACAAAAAAAAAAAAATGAATTTTTAATTTTTTAAAAGAAGTGATTTATGTATACTATTTCTATTAACACCTATATTTACTTTTTTGTATTTGAATTGAATAAACTTGAAAGAAAATTTATTATTGCAATTGACATCTCACATTGTCGCTTGTATGAAATTTTTTTTAAGGACAACATTAAACATTAGTATGATGAAGAAAAAAAATGTACGAAAATTATATTTCTGATTAAAAACTTAAAATACGAGACAAATGTTGGGATGGGGGATTGCAATTTTTTCATAAAGAGAGAGTTATAATATAATAATGGTGATGATTAGGACACATTATAATAATTACATAGACTAATCTGCAATTAATCACATCAATAATTAAATTATGCGGGCATGCTCCTTAATTAATGACCATGTAGGATCATGGGTGTTTCTCACTCTATGACACACCTTGATCGAGATCAGGGCATGCTGGCCGTCACGTGGAAGTGACGTAGCCATGTGCACAGTGCGGAAGCTAAAAATAATAATAATAAAAGTACGAATAAATAAAAACCAGCTATACACAAAGTAAGAACATACATATGCAAGCGTAAGTGTGAAAAACAAAGTTCGGAGCACGGAAGACCTAATGCAGTCCGGGAGAAACAACACTAAACAAACACACCCAAAGGTGGTCCTACACTGGTGATAATCTGTCAGATATGCCGAAAAAATCCTCTGGGGAGCCACCACAAGTGCTAGCCAACTAGAACCTGGAGGGGTGCAAAACAGAAAGCGTGAGTGGGCAAAAACAAAGCTTTTCAAAAACCATTTCATAAACAAAGTTCTAACCCATCGCTGTAAAACCTGTATACTTCCCAGAAAAATAGAATATATACATATATATAAATCATGCTCGGAAATATGTCATGCCAAATGCCTCGATATAAAATGCAAGTACTCAGGTAATGCCAAACAATGCCATGTAATCTGTCAGCTAGAGTCACCTAACGTGACCTGTACGGCTGAATCTAGAGCTCAAATCTCCATCTCACTAACTATACCTGCACACGAGTCGGAACCATCTAAAGTGGTCTGTACGACAGGACTGGGTGTATAATAAGTACGCTCAAGTGCTACGATCACATGAAGGTTGGGCGAATAATCGCGGGTCACCTACGAGTCGGAACCACCTAAAGTGGTTTGTACGACAGGACTGTGCACCTTTCTGGGAAAAACATAAGTATATAGGTATATACGGAAAACCAAAAGCCCACTCATTGGTATGTAAAAGGGTCGTAACCCCCTTACCTCGAGTGACCGCGCTCCTCCTCGAGATAGGTCTCACCTATATGTGAAACAACTATAAAAACGTTAATTTTAAAGCACATAACCAACCTTACGAAATAACTTCTCATACAATACTCAAATGGGGTGTATGAATACACCAACGTGATCTACTCAACCTTACGAACATCCCCATATTTTTAGAAAAATTTTCCGACGCCGCATGCACCCCCATGCGTCAGCCAAGGCACAGCCACACGCGCAGGCACGTGCCTGGCACACTGACCGCGTTAGTTAACGCCGTCAGGAATATTCCGTTAAATCTAACTGATGCCGTTAATGCTGTTAGGAATATTCCAACCAAACTGACATAATATTCCGTCATTTTCTCCGGCCAAACTTCGGCACCGTCGCTGGCGCCGAAAAACCGGGAAATTTTCAAAACTTTGTATCTTCTTCGTTTTTCAACCAAATTTCACAAAATTGGTACCAAAATGAAGCTTACAACAAGAGGAACAAATTCATACCACTTTCAAGCACTAAAACCCACGGAATCTCGCTAGGAAAACACCACCAACTCCGGCTAAACTTGTAACTCATGATCCCGACGTCCAAAACCTTCAAACGAATCACCCCGAGCCTCCTAAGAACCTCACCAAGCTTCCTACAAGCTTGAAATTCTCAAAAACACAAGAATTAATGTGTGCATGAACAGTGACCAAATCGGGGGATCCCGAGTTCGACGTGAAAACGAAGGTATCCTTACTTGAAATGGGTATGGTTGAACTCCTAAGGACCTCACGAGCACGAATATGTAATTTGTTTCCTTGATCTGTGAAGTTTTCAAGGGTTTTGGGTGGTGTCCGTACGAAAAGAATAGGAATGGGAGAGAGAGAGGGACTCGGGACAGGGCAGAGAGAGAGGGTGAGTGTGGGGGTGTGTGTGTGGTCCAAAGTCCACCAACCAAAGCCCAAAAATGACCACACAACGAAACAAACATAGTAGGGGCAAAACCGTCATTTCATCCCTACAATACGAAAAATCCGGGACGGGCTGTCACACTCTAGTTTCTCCACCTTAGGTAGACAATTTCAATTTCTTCACATTGACCCCAACTATATTTTTTATTCAATTATCTAAACTACTTTTTTTTATTATTTTTTGAACAAACAATATTATTTACACTAAGGGAGAGGGGATGAACTTAGCCTCACAATGAGCTAGTAATAATGTAATTTTACAGATCCAAATTTTACTATTTTTTATTAAAATCTCACCTATAAGTGATGTTAACATATATCTCATATTAAAAAAAAAAAATACAAAACAAAAACCTCTCGCTTCCACTCCCACATGCGTTCTCTCTCATCCTCTTTCATTTTCATTTTAAAAACAAAAATAAAAAGAGTTCATACACGTAGTGTGTGTAGATGTTAGTTAATTATTAAATCTTGAGTACAAAATTGTAAGTCTAAATTTTAGACAACTATTATTTATGTTCTAAAAATCTAATTGTGCACTTCTCATATGAGAGAACTCCAAAATTTAGGAACATCTCTAATGCAGATGTTGAATTTCATTTGTAAAGTCTCATTTTCAACTAAGATTTTAAATTAAAATGCTTTTTGGTTATTTATAAAATCAAGTGGGTCAGAATTTAATAATAAAATATTAATAAGAGAAGAAAATAAAGAAATATGTGGGTTCAACATTAAAATGAAACTTTTTTTTTTGATGTTGCCTTTAAATTGGAGAATGTTAATGCATGTTAAAATTTTGGCATCTAATTGGAACCAGAAAACCATATTTTTTTGTCAAAAAGAAATTCACGTAGGATTTTTGATATCTAGATGCTCTAATTGTGCACTTCTCATAAAAATATTTTCTTTCAAAATATAAAAAGTTTAGAGTACACAATTAAATTTTTACAATGTTAATAACAATTTTTAAAATTTATTTCATGTATTATAATTTAAGTAAACTTGCAACCCAATGGACATGTCATGCGATATTTACATCCCACACCAAAATTTGTCCCAAGAGTGAAAGCAATTGGTGATGATAATGTGCCAATGTGGTGAGCGGTCACATTGTTTTAGCTTCTAGATATCTTTGATCAAGTCATTAACCTAAAAAAAAAGTCAAAAAGTCAACGAAAAAAAGAAAGAAAAGTCCCAGTCTATTTCTATTTAACATATACAAAAATAAATAAATATAAAAAAATAAAAATGAAATTCATATAGGCAACATGGGTTGACTTGATATACAATTAAATTAAAAGAAAAACTAATGAAAATGATTTGAAAACTTTGCGTTTTAACGATAAAGACAAAATAAAGCGTAAAGTGAATAGTATTAGGATTTACTTTTTAGTGTAAAAATATGATTTTTCGTTAAAATAAACAGTATGAGAAGTTTTTCGTTAAAGTTCCCTAAATTAAAATACATTCCTATAATGCGATTACAAGTGTCCAACACTTTAAGTATTTTATATGAATTCATAATTATGCTGTGCCATATAAATACATAATGATTGTAATTTGTATTTCAAACTAGTCTTTACATATTTCTATAAATTTTCCATTACGTGTCATGTGGTAGGTGAGCTTACAATTCCATCATAACCACATTGTGATCGTCATGTGTGATTGTTGAACACTATTTTATGCAATTCCATATTGATCTGGCAAAGAAGCCTCTCTATCGTGGTCGTGCGAGAGGGACTTTCCTGCTTCACGTCAGAAGTGAAATAGGCACAAACAACTGCATCTCAAGATATATAAGTACATATTTCAGCTTTATCAGGGGTTATCATTTTCATTTTTGTGTTATATTGTATGAACAACACTTTGCTCTTACTTAAAAGAACACATTTCTTTTAAGACACAAGTTACAATTCCATACAATTGCATAATCTTTTTCTTTCATGTTTATAACGAGTTGTTTATGTCAGGGCCAGTTCTGAGATTCTGTAGGTTCTGTGCGAGACTCAAATGGAGGCCCTTACATGGTCTAAATTTTGGTTGCTATGTTTTCTTTTATATTTTTTTTTCTTATGTATAAATAGACGTAAACGCAAAAGAAAATAAATAAAGATGAAGCATGGTGTGGTGGCTATGTATCTATCATATTACCATATGAATATCATAATTAGAACCACTCATGCTCTTTATTATCAACTAGTTAAACAAATCTCTGGTAATGATATTTATAGCATCTTATAATGAATCGTTCATTTTTTATTGCATTTTTCCTCACGCCCAAGG